CACACTGTTTTCTAACTTGTTCGCCTCGCGCTTACCTATCTAATAAAATCCGGTTCTCGGTAGTTTCCTCGCCACGCAGTCGCAATAGTAGTACGAACAGTAATTGGAGACGGCTGTGATTGATCGTGATTCTCTTGTTGCAACGAATTTTGCATACTGTTATAATCTTCAGAGATGTTTGTCAATCGCAACGATGATTTTTGTTCTTGATCGAAGTTATCTTTATAATCGTTCGATATTGTTGATGTTTTCGCTGATTTAAGAGGGGAAAAAGATGAAAAATTTGAAAGATTCGAGGATTCTTCTAAATATCGTCGTCGCTTCTCTCCAATTAGAGGAGACGTCGCCCTTGTAAGTCTTTTTTTTGATGGCTCGATTTTCAGAGGAGTGTATCGTCTGATTGGTTCAGGATGATGTACTAATTCTGAGCGTATTTTACGAATCTCCGCTTCCTTTCTAGCCTTATAAGAAAATAACTGTATTTATCTCTTATCATGCAAAAAAATTGCGAATACTAAAAATTTATTTTATATACCTCTTCTTCTCTCTGTTTCTCTCTTTTGAGCATCTCTTTTTCCACTTCCCTGTTTTTGCGTTCTTTCTCAATTTGCCTATGTTTCTCAATTCGTAAATCAGTCAAAAAATTGAATTCCACGGGCTCGGTAGGATTTGGTTTTTCGGGTTTAGGCGGTGGAGCAACCTGGTCAAATTTAGGAACCGGCCTCGCATGGAATATTTTATTCTCCTTTTCGATTTGTTCCGAACGATTCACCATTTCTTGAAAATATTGTTGATATACTTCTCCGCGTATATCTGTTTGTAGAATAAAAGGATCTGGTTGTGTTGGTGTTCGATGCGGGGGTCTTGGAAAATGCTGAGTGAAAATTGATCATGGCCTTCAATAAATAGTTGACAATTACGAAAAGACATGCTATTTACTTACATCAGGAGAATCGCTTGGGAGAGGTTGTGCTCGAAACCTTCTCGCTCTTTCCTGTTCCTCCAATTCTCGTCTAATTTTTTCCTCCCGCTCCCACATTTTTCGTTTTGTTATTTCATCACCTGGCAACGAAAATCCGGGCGGGGACAATTTTCGGTGCTCAATGACCGGTCTAAAAGGATTATCATAATCGGGCACTGGATTCGCTTTGACGAGGTGTGGTGGAGATGGTTTTCTAGGTGGTATTGGTTTAGGCTTGGTTATTTTTGGTGACTCTGGTATCGTAGGAATGGGCTTCTCAATCGTCGGAACTCCTAATTCACCTGCAAACTCAAATATCTATGAAAAATGGAATTTAGATTTAATGTGATTTTTTCTTCTTGAACTTATATATATATATAGAGTGTAAATATACTACATGTACATTAATCTTTATAATAATCATCTATATTCATTTCTCTAAAAATTTCTAATTAAACAAAACGGAGACATACCCGTCGATTTATAGGTCTCGCCCTAAATTCATATTTTTCAGCTTCAATGGCTTCACGCTCTTCGGTTGGCAGTACTCTATTAAATAGAACAAAATACGATTACCAAAGATTGCCATTCGATGAACTATTTTCGGTTTATTACTTACGAAGTCGGTTTAGCTCTTATCTTAGTCAATAAAAAAGGGGATTTAGCAACGGTCGACGAATACCTATATTGTGGCAGTTCAACAGGCTATTATCGTTGTTAAAATGGTTAATGCCTGAATAAGCTGATTACGTATTTTGAAATGAAATTAAGATTAATGCTTTTATTTGCCTTCGACGCCGAATGTGGTTTAAACCGGTCCGGTGTTTCATCCAAGAATGCTTGAATTCTTTTAACCAACGGAATATATGGGGACTTTGCGTCATTAGACGCATTACATATATTTTCGTTTCTTTGAGCACGTTCAGCCGTCAGGAATTTAAAGGGTTTTGGTACAGTGACAGTATTAGTTTTTTTCTATAATTTAGTAGAAGGGTTTTTTTATTTGTTTGTTCAAATGAAAAAGCATAACTATATGTATTGCTTAACAATAGATACCTGAATGACTGTTTGTGACTTTACTCCGAGGTAGTTCCTGTCATTCTTTTGTGATTTTAAAGTCTGCGGCGTTTTGAAGCCTAATGATGTAGTGCCGCTACTTAGGTTGTTTCCATTATCTTCAAGATTGTTTAGATATTGAAGAAAACTGTCTTCGCCACTGTCTGATTTAGTTGGTGTCTTATCCATAATTGTCGAACAGTAACTAGAAGAAAAAAACCAAGAGTCAGGTTTAAGTGTTGTTATTCACAAAGACGCGACCAAATCTTGAAATACGCGTCGAAAATTTAAGATTTGCATAAATACAATTTAGGTCACATGTTTTAATATTATTTTTAATAGGGCGTATTACCGAGGTCAATCGATAACAAGCGGTATAAGCAGTATGTCAACACCAATGTTCTTTAGCGAGACCTTACTACCTGAGAAACCTTCTTCCCATGAGGAAAAAGATAAATTTGAAGGAGGACCACCAACACGGGTTTCTTCTGCTAACAGAGTTCGAGCTCGCCGAAACAGACACCAACGCAAAAAACAACGTACAAGCAGTCCACCCGACTACGAAGATTTCTTAGTGTTTGGTTATGAAGCAAAAGCATTCCGCGACGATGAAATGGCCAAAAAGATCAACGATGGTGAACTCTTGATTCCTTGGCGTGGCGAGGAAACTACCGAGAACCGGATTTTATTAGATAGGTAAGCGCGAGGCGAACAAGTTAGAAAACAGTGTG